CCCCCGCGGCCCCGCAAAATGCACCCACCCCATCCCTCAGCGCCACCTCCGCCGGGCCGCGGAAGAACTTCAACTCCATTACGCCCTCTCACGGGTCGTTTGCGAACCCGATGAATGCCCCACTTATACCTCGAGGGGTGGGAGTGGCCCCGACGCATCTGTCGGTCACCTCGAAGCTGAATAAACCACTATCAACACCCTTGAACGCTGACATGGCATACGTTGCGCTTCCGCAAAAAGAGAAGATTCGTCAGCAGTTCGTGGAGGAATTTTTGAGGGGTGGCTGGGTTCGCTTCTACTCCTTTACGCAAGAGGATAGCGTCGTGATGTATTACAGCTTACAACCAGGCCGGTATGGCGCCATGTTCCCCACCGAAGCGGGTGTTGGGACTGCCGTGTTGGATATCTTCTCCAAGTTAGTACTTTACGTCCCATGCATGAACAACGAAAGCACAAATCGAAATCAACCACACCCACACGTGCAAACTTTCTATGACGAGGAGGTGCGCATTTTGTCCCTTCCAGAAGCCCAGCGGTATTTGGGAAATGTACTGCGGTGTATTACCGGCTTTATTGACGAGATCACTCGCCTAAGGGCAGAGGGCCTCACTCCTGCGGCGGTTCACTCGGCTTACATTCACCAACGTAACGTGGAATCGGTTCCGCGGGACACCAAGTTTGTGTACGTTCGAAAAGTATTTCCGGACCCGTGCGGAACGTTTACGCTTTTTCGATTATCAAATTTGCGTTCGCAGGTTGTGTGCAATGCGATGCTTGACATACGTTGGCAGAGCGATCGGCGACACCATGTAGGGCAAAAATACTACGTGCATGCTGATGGAACCACTGAACCATTTGTAGTTGACAACACCGGTGTTCTTTCACAGGTTGAAGAGGTGCTGAATAATAATTATAGAAGATAACAATATGATTTGTTGTTGTTTACTCATATAGTCTTTTATTGTTGACTGTTTTCTAATCGAGTAGTTTAACATTTGACTCCCAAGTTTTGCTTCCAGAATTTTCCTCAATCCTATACAAGCATATCCTTGATGTGCCAAACACAACAAATAATGTTATACCTAGACGCTTTTTCGCACTCAAAATAAATATAGAGATAAATATTTGATATTTCTCTTTTCTTACACCTAGAAAAGATAGATAAACCAAGTAAATAGCCACTATGGTTACACATGATCCCTCTCAGTGTGTTTTTCATCTACAATTTTCATGAGTTAGATCAGAATATCCATTGTGTTTCATCATTTAAATGCAACAGCAGCAAAAATTGTGTATTTGAAGCGATTTTTTTCAGTGCAAAGCTAAGAAACAAGGGCCTTATTCCGTAGTGTATTCTTTACCGATTTACTATATTATATCTTTATCTGCCTAATTTAGAAAATTATTACATATATTCACCCATTTTTTATGCTTACACTAAATTTGTTAATACGCTTCGTATATTTATTAAAATGATGACCTTGGATTCCTTTTCTCATACCTTTGTTGATAGAATAATGACAAGGGCTTATATATTATATATATATATATAATATAGAAAATTCTCTTACTCAGTTGGAGATTTTAGCCTCTTTTCACTGCGTCCCCTTTCATTTCCACATGAGCAAAAAATTCCATCGTGAGTTTCATTGCTTTAATAACTATATTGCTAATTGACGTGTATCGCTGTTAAAATATTTTGACTTCCCTCTTTTCGTCTTTTTCATAATTTATAATTTATCTAAAGATAAGGTTACTGAATCAGGCTGTGCACGTCGCTATTTTTCTTTATTTGAAGGAGATCAAGTCATTTTCTTCACCATAGCTGGTTTTTATCCTTTAAAAGTAAACATACGCCCTGTAAGTGTCAGAAGCGAAAGTGTTTTTTTGGGAATAAAGTCTATAGACTATGCCGACTATAAAGAAGCGTGGGAAGTCATCCTCAAAAACTAGTGGCAAGTCAACAAAAGCATTGCCTAAGCCAGACACCAAAAATTCAATGCAGACCACAACAGAGACTCGTGAGCGCTTGTGTGAAGAAGAATCCCGGTTCCGTCAATGTATAACTGATGAAGAGCGCCGGGTCATGAGTGATGTGATTGCTCGTGAGTCAAGTATCCGTAGCGTACTCCTGGAAAATGACCTAAAGGCCAAATATGAAGATTTGAGGAAGGAAATGTTGGATTCGGTTACGAAACGCGATTGGGATCTTCAACTTGTGCAAGGCAAATTGACGGGTTTGGAGAAGGCTCAACAATTTCTCATGAGGGAAAAGGAAAGTGCTCTTCAACTTGCGACTAAACTTCAAGATCAATACGATTTGGCTCAAACGATGTTTTATGAGGAGCGTGAAATGCTCAAAAGTCGCATCAATCAATTGGAAAAGGCTAATGAGGAATCCAAAAACGCGTGCATCGAGTACCGATGCTATCTCAAAAAACTCGAGGAGGAAAGCCGGAATAAACGTGCGTATTGCGAATCGCCTCCCAAGGTCTTTGTGGAGACGGTAACGCCGGAGTTGACGACATCTGTTTCTGGGACAGATGCTATCAGGGATAGCATTTATGAGGGGGAGGAGGATGAAGAAGAGGAGGAGGAGGAGGGGGGTGACGAAGATTATTCTGGTATGGATAAAGAAACCGAAGCGCTTATTCAAGTGCTCAGAAACGAAATTGAGATCTACAAGGAACAGAACGCCACCCTACAAAATAAGCTGAGTTCTATGAAACGCGACGAGGAAAAGACAAGTTTGCTTGTTTCCGTGCTGAACGCGCAACTGGAATCGGTTCGTGGAGAAAACAATCATTTGCATGAAAACTTACAAAGGCGAATGGATGATATCAAAGCAATGCATGATTTTGTACAGAGTGAACGTGAGAAATATTTTGCTCTACTAGGAAAGGCTGATCATGCAGGTTCCGAAGCGTCAGTAAAGCAAAAACAGCTGGAGCTCGAATTAGACGTGCACAAGAAGCAGGTAGTCGAATTATCTTCTTGTCTTGAAAAAATAACAAGTGCGCATAATACGCTCACAAAAAAACACGAGGAGTATGTTGAAAACGCGATGAAGCGTGAGCAAGAAGACTATCGTGCTAATGTATCACTTAAAGCCATAGTAGAAAAACACGAGAATGAGATTAAACGGATTTTGGAGGTAAACCAAAAAGCTCAAGACGATATGTTCAATTACAAGATCTTCACACGGGCAGAAATGGACAGTTTGAAGTGTCGTTTGCGTTCAATCCAGGAAATTTTAAGCCAAAAAGAACAGGATATTGTAAGGATAACCGAGTCGCTAACTTCAGAAGCCGACCAATTAAAAACGGAGCGTGATCAGTTGTTGTCCACATGGGAAACCCAGTCTCAATCTATTGAGGAAGAGAAGCAGGACCTAATCACTCAGCGTGATGCGCTGTTGAATGAACTGGAGGATCTCAAGAAGACTTCCTCGGAGACTGAAAAGCAGTTGTATGAAAACCTTGTCATCATGACGGCCTGTCATGACTCCAAGAATGCGGAGCTTGAGCGGAACTTGCTTCGTTCGCGCGAGAAGGACAGGGAGTACACCAACAATATTGTCTTTTTGAGAGCCGAGAACGAAAACATGAAGTCGAAGATGACCGAGATGCTGGATTCGATGGAGCAGCAAGAGAAGGACCACCAGGCGCGCGTGAGCGAACTTGAGAGGCAGATAGCCGATCTCCATTCCAAAATCGCCCTGGACTCGATCCAGCGCGACGACGGCCTGGCCAAGGCGACCCAGCGGGCCGACATCGCCGAGCGGAATGTCCGGC